TCACAATTTCACAGGTGCTAATCTAATTTTAATAATTTCTTTAACAATTAATACATGGCAAAGAGAAAATCAAATATAACAAGGCAAGGCAAGCGATAAAAGAGGAAATCTTGATTTTAGCAACAATTCCTATGATTGATATCTCTTCTTTCTTGTGAGTTTTCCATTTTTCACGAACATTATCTATTTTTTCCTTGTTCTTTCCGTCAAGTACTGTTATAATGAATGACACCCAATACCCACATCTTTCAGGAAGTGAAATATAATTTATTCTTAAATTATATCCAAAAGAAAACTCAATTTGATCCTTAAAATATTTGGACATGAATATATGAATATCTTATAAATTAGAGTATACTTTTTAAATATATAAAAAGTGGTAGAAGTAACTAACGTGCGAGTGTTTAACACGTTAGAGAATCACTAATATTATATTATAATGAAGTTATACAAGCAAAATTAAATACTATATGCGAATTATTAATATAAAATTTTAAAGTAATAAGTTGTGAATTTCCATCCACTTATATGTATTCAACTTCTTTATTTTTATTTAATATTATATTTTTAACAAAAAATAAGAATTAAAATTTAATTTTAATAAACTATATAAAGATTTTAACATTATAAAGTCGTAAATATTAACTATTAAAAAAATGTATATGATTATTTACAAATAAATAATAATAAAAAATATATATTCTGAATTTGAATTAAGTTCTAATAATTAATTGGTGACATCGGAAATGAGAAACCGCGAATGTGATTTCAAAAATGGGTAGTTTGATAATCGCTGTGGGGATCATATGGCATTGCTTCCCTGGAGCTGAGTAGCTGAGCCAGACCCAGAAGAACAGGATCGAAAAGTCATTAATTGCTTGTATTTGGCAGTTGAATGCAGAAACCATTTGTGTCATGCACTCTTCGATTTGACACCCTTCAAATCCAGTTTTTTAACTTTTTCAATTTATAGGATTCCTAATTCAACTCTGTCCCTTTCATAGGGTAGATAAGCAATATGGAGCTTCTAAACTTTTCCACCTAATCCCACTCTTTATACATGTTTACACCAATCTGCGCCAAAAAAACCTTTCCCTATTTCATGCCACCACCCCCGTGGAAGCATTTCCTTGCCCTTTTTCGAGATCTTTAGCTACAGGGACACAAGATCTACTTCCTTTTCAATGTCACCTCTTATCTACACATCTGTGGAGATTTGGGTAGGAAAAGAAGAAACTATAGTGGTCTTTGTTCTAAAGAAACAAAGACAGATGTATTAAATAGATAAAAGAAAAGTGAAATTTTAAAGATATAAACCACGGGAAAGGATGAAATTCGAAGGAGCATTAAGAAGGAGTGAATTTATTAATTTATTTAATATAGGGATAGAGTTGGAGAGGTGGGGTTGGTATGTTGTTGGCATTTAATGACGATGACGTGTTAATATAGCAATGGTGGCTGGGTGTCATTTCAGAGAATCACACTAGGTGGCTATTCCTATGGCAAACAAGACCCCAGTTCGAAGAGGGCCCTTTTGAGTCTATGAGAGAGTGACAGAAAACCATGTTGCATATCAGATCAGCAACAACCCAAGAATATGTTCACTCACCTAATTTTCTAACATCTAGCAAGTAATCATCCAATGGAATAACAATCTAATTAGCCAGAATTAGTCCCAAAAGAAGATTTACAAGCCAATCATTATCCTAATTAAACAACCAGAATCAAGCTGTCCCCGTGCATTGGTACGTGTTTAACTGTTAATTTTTTGAGTTTTGATAAAAAGAAGCTCCCACACTGCCAGACAGGTGGTCTCTGTTAGCTTTTATTAATTCCCCACTGCAAGGACAATCAACCATGCTACAAAAACTTTCTTTTTTTACTGATTTTTTTTAATTATTTACATCTTCTTTTTTTCATATATTTATAAAAATAAAAATACAAAACACAACTAATCTTCTACAACTGAAAAGCTGGAAGCAATTACCTTACTAAACTGATGAAACAAATTATTGAAAACACGTAGAATTATGTGTTTCATATTCACCTTTTTGGTCCCTTGGAGGGCCAAGAGCAAGGTTAGTCCAAGGGTATTTAGATATTAGAAAATTTTCATATTAATGTATTTTAACAATATAAATTATATATTTAAAAATAATTAAAATTGTTTTTTTTTTATTTTCATGGTGAAAGAATTAGCTATTAAATTTATACAATCAAGTTTATAAATTGATATTTTTAATTAAATAAATAGACAAGTTGATCATTTGTGAAATATTTTTTAAACGCAAATGGGATTTTATTAATTTTAAGTTCAATTTTTTTTTACTAAAGTTACAATAACATTATATAAGTTATCCATGTATTTAAAAATAATTTATCTTTTGTTATAGAACTTAATATTTTGAGTAGTGTTTTATTTTTTAAATTTGTAATATTTTTTAAATTTTAAATTCTAAAACTAAAATTTTTAGCATAAATATATACTATTATTATTTTTTTGTCATGAGAATTATTTTGAAGTTATCAGAAAAGTGAAATTCTAAGACCAGGCCCTAGTTGCACATACCTTGAAGTAACCTGAACCAGAGCCCAATAAGAACCTATGTTTATTCAATTATATTATGTCATTCGAATACAGAACAACGGGTGCTAACGTTTTTTTACAAAAAAAAAATAATAATAAAAAAATAAATAATTAATATGCTCCATGCAGCGGAGGCTAAATAATATATTACTATTAAGCTAATTTTTAATATATTTTTTTATATTCTAACTATTTTAATTACTATTAAAATAATTTATTAATTAAATATTTTTAAAATTTATGGTTTTTTAATATTTCCCTTATGTTTATAAACTCCGTAGTAATGGACAAAATCTAAAATTAAATATTCTCATATATAATTTTGTACATATAAATTTTCATTATATTTGTATGAAAAAGTGATCTATATAGCATCGTAAGAGAAATTTAGGCGATGTTTAAAAAGAATTATAGATAATTTTTATACTATATTATAAAAAATTATGATCAATTTGATAACAACTTTTTATATTAAATAAATATTTAATCAAATCGCATTTCTAGGCACACCTCTTAAGAATCTAAGCATTTCTTTAGACCAACTCCTTGACTTCCAACATTGTGCTTCGTTTCAAAATCTCTCACCTATTACAGTAGACCTTATGAGCAAGGATTTGACAATCTCAAGCATTGTTAAAACAACAATGAATAAAAAATTTATATTTTCTTATCAATAACAAATAAATCATACATTTATTACAAAGAGTAAGAGGATATATACATAATCATATTTCAAGAAAGAAATACATTTTGAAATTATACTATCAAATTCAATAACTTTTTTAGACCACAGTTATCTCTGTCATCGTTGTTGTGTTGAAATAACTATCAATATAAATCAACAATTTAAATATATTTTAATCTTTATTAAAATTGTTGCATTTGATTTTTTAATTTTTTTTGTTTTAATTTCTGTAAATTTTTATTTTTTAAGCAGTTCATATCATCATGCATGTAGTCTTGCCTCACGATGAGTAAGAGGTGATAGGATTATTTAAAAAAATTAAAATTAATAAAATTATTTAAAAAATTAATTAATATTAAATTAAATTAAATTAGATTTATAAAAAACTGAAAATATATTTCACACTGTATTCCTTGCCTTGGTTTAATTTGGGATGGATTCTCGTCTACGGCCTCTAATTATTACTGTGTTTTCCTTGTACATGACTTGCCTTTGATTGTACGATACCTGCCGTAAATTTCAAATTAGAGAGTGGGTGAAAAATGGAAAAATTGCATCCATTTTGTTGCTTCTAAATCTAGTTTTCCTTTAAAATCATGAATAATTTTGCATCTCTATCAACCATCAATCAGTAAGACTTCTAACTTGTAAGCTTAATGCATGTTCGCAGTGATCACTAAATAATCATTTATCTATTAAAATGAATTTTGTCCCAAAAAACCTCAAATATTGGGAGGTCATGATTTCAAATTTTTATTCATGTCGTACGTTTCTAAATAATGATCTCACACCAACTCTAACGGAGGCCATTGCCTACAAAAACATAAGTTACCGTTTCATTTGTATTGTATGATTAATATTGATATAAAAGAGAAAATTACATGGATATAAGACAATTATTTAAATAAATAACAATTGCATATTAGAAAAATTACATATATATAATGAGAAAAAATGTAATTTTTTTAATTACACTTATAAAATTACTTTTATTCATGATAACTTTAATTTATAAACATATACACATGCAGTAATAATATTCATTTCATATTTTTATTTTTCTCTATCTTTCCTATTATTACATTAATCACATTTATTTATCTTTAGTGAAAATATATCTTTGAAGGATAAAAGGAAAACAGTTTGAAGAAAAGTGTACAACCTCTTCAAAACATTGATATATGTATACACTTGTTTTTAGGTTTAATTGGCTTTCACTTATAACTTAACTTGAATGCAAAATGGATTTGATAATACAATAATGACTTTTGTAGAATGATAATTTTAATTGACATATGTTGTGAACTAAATATAAAAGAAATTAAATTGTGATGTCATGAAAGAATGGAGTAAAATGTGAGTCTTAGTTGTGTAAACAATATCTCTGAGTCTTAGTTTTATAGGTCTTAAATGTGCTTAAAAGATATATATTTATACATATTTTGTGTTTATCTACGAAGAAGAGTTACATCAACTCAATAGATGTATTTTCATGAATAATCACACTGTTTTAAGTGGCAAGAAGAGTTAGGTCAATTCAATTGCCTTATCATAAATAATCATATTATTTTAATTATATTTATTTGTGTATGAATAATTATATCATCTCACTTCATGCCTATTCATGTAAAATTGTCACCTTTTAATTCACATTTTCAAATGAAATAAGACAATTCTTGGTTATAAAATGAGACTTTTCGTATAAATAAATTAACACAAACTTATTATAATATAAAAGAATATAACTCTTTTGAAAATTGCTACACATTATTTTGGTCTGATTTGTTCCTATAATTTACTGGGTGAAAACGTACGAACATTTTCGAATTCAAAAATTTCCTAACTTCGCTGTTTGAGGTGCGTACAATCAAAATAAATAAATAAGAAAGAACAAAGAGCTTAAGAAACATGTGATCGAAACCCAAACCTAAGATGCACTTGAGCCGAATCCAAGCCAAAAGTTTCCAAACTATAAGAGCAAATAATTGAGACCTGTTTGAAAACCAACGTCATCCAAGCTGTAAAAAATGGGGAGAAGAAAGGGCAATTTGAAAAAAAGACATGGAATGTATTCACATTTCACAGTGCCATAAAATCTCTACAAAAGCATGTAAAAATTATGTATGAATAAGAAAAAGGGAGAGTAATACAGAAGAACGTATCCAAAACTAAACCTCTAATTGAAGAGCTTTAGCATTTGGATTTTGAAGTGCCCCATTGACCCCAAGATGATGGGAATCATGATCATGATCGGGGGCTCTGCTTGCTTTCACAAACCCAAAGTGCCCCAAAAGCTCCCACCCCCAATCCCAAAGGTTCAACACAATGTAAGTCCCAATCCCACCAATAAGCCCATAAGCAATGGAATAGGTCAACGGCATCAGAATGAGAGTCACAAACGCCGGTATCGCCTGTCTCATGTCCTCCCAATCAATCTCCACCACCGATCTCATCATCAAAACCCCCACCAATATCAACGGTGGCCCCACCGCCCATGCCGGAATCGACGCTAGTAACGGCGTGAAAAAAAACGCCAGAAAAAAATACGCCGCCACCGTCAGCGCCGTTATCCCCGTCCGACCACCCTCCCGGATCCCCGTGGACGACTCGATGAACGCGGTCACCGGCGACGTCCCCAGCAGGGATCCCACCACGATGGACGTGGCATCGGACATGAACGCGAAATACTGACCCTCAAAATCCCCTTTCTCGTCGGTGAAACCCGCGAAACGAGCCATGGAGTACAGTGTGCCGGTGGTGTCGAGAATGTCGACGTACAAGAATGTCACCACTGCTTCCCAAAAATACCCCTTCCCTATATTCTTAAAGCTCAACGCCCCCGCGGTGCTCTTTATAGTGTGTATGTCCACCACCTTCTTGAAATATTCGTGGGCTTTTTTACCCGACTCCGTGTTTGGAAACGCCGTCACTTTAGTGTTCCGGAACCACGACACTGCGGTCACGAAAACGATGCCGTATATCATGGCGCCTTTAATGTTTTTCACGAGACAGTACGCGATGATCACGAAGCCCACCAGCCCCAGCCAAAATGTCGGGCTTTCCATTCTGTTGCTAAGGCATAAAATATCTCCCGATACCGTTCCTCCGGGTAACAAGCTCACCGTGCCGTTAGCAGCCGTTACGACGGGCGCCAGAGAAGCCCGCGAGGAGCTCGGGCATGCGCCGAGGGTCACCAGCGTGGACGGGCTATACCCGACAATCCCAATTCCTTGGTTGTTTTGAAGCCCGATGAAGGCGAGAAAAAGTCCAATTCCAGCGGAGGAGCTAATTCTGACGGGCTTGGGCACCAGCTTGGCGAGTTTCGCGCGTAGACCGATTGCTGAAACGAGTAAGAAGACCATGCCTTCGATGAAGACGGCGGCGAGGGCGCTTTGATAGGAGACGTTGCCGGAGCCATGGAAGCCCACGACAGTGTAAGCGAAGTAAGCGTTGGAGCCCATGCCCGGGGCAAGGCCCAGAGGGAGGTTGGCGAAAGTGCCCATGATGAAGCAGCCAATGAGGGAAGAGATTACCGTTGCGACGATCAAGTCTTTGCGGGTTTTTTCGATGCAGGCCGCGTAGCCCGGGTTAACCGGGTTGAATTTGCACGAGTCATCGGGTTGGAGAACTCGGAGAGAAGAACCGGTGCAGGCGGACAGAGGAACAGAAGGGTCTGAACAGAGAGGGACGCAATCGGAGACAGAGCAGGTTCCGCCGGAGTCGGAAAGAATGGAGGCGTTGACGGCGAGTATGTAAGCCATGGTGAGGAAGGTGGCGGTGCCGGCGCGTAGCTCGGTGGTGAAGGTGGAATTGCGTTGGGAGAGTTTGAACCACTTGCCGACTCTGGTTTTGGCTACGTAGTTGTTGAGGCGAGAGAGGGGTTGGGTGTGAGAGTGGTGTTGGGGAAGTGGGGGCCTCTCAGCCTCCATTTCCATTGGATTGTTGGAGTGTTTTGCTTTCTTTGTTAAGGTTTAGGATTAGGATATATCGAGGTTTGATGTTGGATTTTATTGGCTTTGTGCCTTTTCTTTTGTGTTCTCTGAGGGAGGCAGAGCACAACAGAGAGACAGGGCAGTGGCAAGCTTTGATTTGTTTGTGGTGTTGTGTTCTATATTTGTTTTGCAAAGGATAGATTCCAAGGTCTGGGGATCTTTCTATTATAGCCAACAGTGCTACTTTGAGTATCTAATTATCATTATTGTTTTCCTATCCTATTTTCTTATATTAATTTATGAAAATTATCGCCCCGGATTTTGGGTGTGAACCCACCCAATCCTTATCAGTTTTCTCATTATTTTATTTGATTGGATTTCAATGTCCTTCCTTTTTTATTAGCAGATATTTTTAGATCCCTTTTTTCTAACATCTATTACTCACAATATTGATTATTCGGAAATAAATTGGTTGGGATGCGAAAATAATAGATATACTTCTGTTACGCATATCAAATTTGAACGCTTAGGGGGGGGGGGGGGGGGGGGGGGGGAAGACTACGTTCCTTGTACACGTGCTGCTTACGTATAAGTTGGATGACTTTGACTTCGATATATGTATAGAAATTATGGGAATTTTGCACATAAATTTCAGGGATTCAATTCGAACATTTTATTTTATCTCTAAAATTAAACTCTTAAAAGAAATATCCCTATCCATTCGATTCTAATTATGTATAATTCCTACTAATATATATTTATCATGGATAATAATAACTATTTATGTGAACACCATTCAAATTTCCCTGTCGAAGCCATCACTTTCTTGATAAATCTCACCTAAGAAGCGAAAATGTGGAAAGGCTTTAGCATTATTGACTAACTTAGCTTGCACAGTTGGCTACAAAATTGGTTCACTACCATGAAGATATTTAAAGTCGTGTAATTTGGTTGGGTTCCCTCTATTTTAATTTTCTTTCCCTCAAAATTGGTTTTGGATATCGTGGGGGGTGTCCATTTCTTTTAAATTATAACGATGTTTGTTGACCAAGAGATATATAATTATTTTACAATTTCGAAGACATGTATTAGATTTTGAAGTCTTCCATTTCAACTGGTGACGATCAGTGACATAATCAAAGAAAACAATACTAATCTGTCACCATGTGCTCAACGAATATCGCATGGTTTCACACTAAATTTGTATGCATATTTATTGGTTTAAACTTTCAAGGGTCAAATTAAGCACATGCTTTGAGTTTAGCCTCATCCTATTTCTCTTATTCAACCACTCTGATAGCAAGAACAGAAAACATAAACAACTCAGCACGTACGTAGTGTTTTTTTTATCAAAGTTGATATTTTGTTTTATGTAAAATAAATTCAATAATATAATACAAGAACCAGCACTAAAGCTAGCATGGACGTGGAGCATGACAATTTATGATAAAAAATACATTTGCACACTTTCCTTTCAAACAGGTAATACTAGTTCCTTTCGACTTTAGTTGCCAACATCGATCAATAAATTAATCCAGCTGTCACACATAATTACATATTAAATTTTGGTTTTTACTATGATATGATACGATGCTAAATGATGCTTTTTTCGGACTTTTTAAATTTTAGTGTGTGAACATGAGTATAATAAGTTGGAGAGAATTAAATATATTTTACTATATGTTATTAAGTATTGAATACTTTTTATTTAATACATACTTTATTTTATGATAAAAAATTTACTTTTATTTTTTGAACCATTACATATGAAAATAGGTTATAAAATATCACGCACGTGCTTAAGTGGATAATTGGGTTGGAGAGTCATCAATAGAGGTCCACCAATACCAATAAAAAGTGAGTGTAACACAAATAAACGTATTGCGAATGGTCAAGTAAGTTGAAAAACTAAAGAAAATAAAATATGACCAAAAGGATGAATGTAAGTAAATATTCAGTAATGTGTGTTTGGAGTTGAGGAATGTGTATGTCGTTGGAGTTAAGTCCAATAATATCCATAATTTCTTGCTGAACAGATAGATCAAATTTAGCGTGAAAAATAAAAATTGAACTGAGAATTCAAAAATTTAAGTTAATAAAACTAATAACACAACTTTACTTTGTTGCATTAGATTATTTTTCAAATGAAATTTTAAAAAGTTGTATGGATATTGTTTTAATTTGAGTAAAAAAAGAGTAAATTAGATAATACAGGAAACAAAAAGAATTCAAACCGTTGGTAATTAAGATTTCAGTTGCAAAAGACAAAAAGATAATATAAAAACATTATTAAAGATAATTTGAAATAACAATCTGGAAAAACTAAGAAATAAAATCATCTAAATTTAAAAGGAAAATTCGGAGTTGTTAAATAATGTGAGAATTTTTCAAAATATAAAAATATATAATAAATAATAATGGTAAAGGTCACATATCATGAAAAGAACACAAAAAAATATTTTTATGTTCAAGAATAAAGATTTAGATTTATACTAATTGATTGTGTCTTGTTATTCAAATATTTTTTTATAATTTTCTTAATTATGAATTAGTTTATTTTTAAATTTCTTGTTCTTTCTTATTATATGATTTTCATGTTTTTATATTAGATAATAAGTTTTCATAAAAATGGATAAAATGAACAATATATCTTTAATAGAGTTATGAAATTGATAACAATAAAAATAAAGCATGATTGTTTATAACTTAAAAATTCTAGTTGTAATATCGTATAAGCTTTTTTTTAATAATTTAAATCCAAAATGATATATTAGATTTAGAATTGTAGTAATTAACTTAGAAGACAAAAAAAAATTTGATATTTTATATTAGTTTTTACATGTTTAATGTGTATTTGAAGATATATTTCATATTTTAAAAATAAAACAAAATAATTCAATCTAAATATTTTTTCTATTAAATTAAATTTGAATTTAAATCAAATAAACTGAATGAGATTTATTTAATATTTTTTTTCAAAATCTAAAATCTATTTTGCAAACACTCCTACTTGAATCTATTATAACCAAACGAGTTTAGTGACGTTAATATTATTTTTTATTAAATATCAATATTTTATTAAAGATAAAAAAAAAAAAAAGAACAAACATCTTGGTGACCTTATTTTGTAATATACATTTATCCTAAGGTCAACCCACAACCCTTTAATTTTATAATTTTTACCTATGAAGTTTAAATAAATTCTAGTTTTATGTTTTAGTTGTTTATTTAATCCATACTTATAAACTTATTTTTTCATATTAATATTTTTTCGAAATGATGGACTGTTGCTACATATTAATTTATATAAATTTAATTGATGTTTTAATATTTAATATAGACATAGATTCATAATAAAAATAGGTAATGATGACAGGTATAAAAATATTAAAATGATAATTTTTAATAGTATAAACGATGTTAATTATATTGTGATTATTTAACTATAGATGGCTATTTAAAAGTGGCAAGATGGGTTCTAACCGACCTAGTTTCATTAGCAATCCATCAAATGATAAATTGGGCTCAACTTATAAAAAAATAAGCAAAAAACATCAATCTATTATGCTTTTAGGAGGGGTTAATGGATCAATGAATTGATATATTTAAAGATTATTTTTAAATAATAAATTTAAATAAGATAAAAATATAATTAACATATATACACTTAAATTCTAACTTAAATAATGAACCAACTTTATTAATATTGATTTAATTTGTATATTTATTAATTTTATAAATATAAAAGTTAATAATATAAAAAATCTTAACTTATTTATATTTTTTTATTATAATATTTAATATATCTAATCCAATGGAACCAAAATTGACAGATTCTGTAGATTAATTTAGTGGGTTTGAGCCATATTACCATCCCTATATAGTAAGAGATTTTTGGCAATACAAGAAAAGAAAAGAAAAATCCTATCCTAATATTGTATAATTAATTGATTATATAAATGCAGGGAAAAATAAAGTAAATCTAGAAAATAATAATGATAAGAAAATAATTAAAAACTAAACTAAAACTTAGAAAATGTAAAATATAATTTTACGCAGATTATATAAGTCATAATATCCATGCACGTTAACTAAATATTGATGATTATATTTATACCTATTCATCAATAATAAACTAATCTTTTATAGTTTAATGTTCATTAATTTAAAAAATAAAATTAATTGCATTAAACTTCATTATTTGGTGTACACTTTAGATTTAAACTGTCGGATTAAGTAACTTTGTTACTTGACCCATTGGTGCCTATTTGACTACCCATCATAATGAAGTCCTTCTATCATGATATATATTTCGATATAAAATTTATGATTAGTTTTTTTAATCATGTATTTTAACCATATTTAACAGTTAAAAATTAATCATATTTTATTTTAAAACAAACGCGTCCTATGTAGGGGAGCTAAGGAAACAAAAAAAAAGCTCCTAGGACAACCGCATGTGTATGCTGTTGTTGGTTGGATGGTCAGTACGTTGGTCATGGTTTGCGGTGCTCTAGGCTGCTTTGTTTGTTTATATGAATATGGATTAATCCGAAATTTTAAAAGTTTTTTTTTTAAATTTTATTTTAGTTTATCTTGAATGTTTGTTGAATAATGGAATTTGAATATTTGATATATTATTATGTTAAGTTTTTTATTATTATTTAACTTCTTATTTAAAGAGAGTGATGAATTAAAAGAATATAATAATAGGATAATTTTTTTTTCATTATTCATATTTCATACTATTTTTTAGTTTATAAAAAATTAATCTAAAGAATGAAATTCAATAATGAAAAAAAAATAATAAAATTCAAAGATTTAAATATAATTTTTTAAAAGCTATGTTAATTTTGATAAAAAATTATTTAAATAAAATTTATACATTATTTTATTATTATTTTTATTTATCTCAAATATTTATCAAAATAACATAATATTATTCACTGTACTACTCTAACATATATTAAATATATACTAGAATAAGACTTTATTTATTATATCTTTATTCAACTCTTTTTCTTATAGTTTTTTTTTATAAATATTATAGCATGTTTACTAAATGGGTTGTCACTTTGGTTGTTTGTTTGAAAATGGTTAAAACTTGAAACTTTGGATGGTAAATGGTAGGTAAGCTATTGCTAGTGTGAGGGGCTTGGAGTGGAAGGTGCATTCACATTAACTATCAATGCCATTGA